CTGGTTGGCCAGAATACAAATTTAACAGTAGTTGTGTCTCTTCGTCAAATTGGACAGAATAAAAACTTTGCTTAAATCAAATCACAGTATAATACTGTGTTAAATCGTGTGGAATGGAGGTAATCCATGAAGGCACATCTGGGACGATGGGTGCAATTGGAATAATGAGATTGTTAATGGCCTGTGATCTTGCACTAAACAGTAAGGTACCATCAATCTCCCTTGTGACAAAGGATACTGCTTTTGAATTACTGGACCAACTCCAGGTTTGAGTCTGGCATTGTGTAAGAGTGTACAGGGAAGTATACCATCTAGTTTTTACTGTAGTTAATATACCGTATATACTCGAGTATAAGCCGACCCGAATATAAGCCGAGTTACCTAATTTTACCACAAAAAAAACTGGGAAAACTATTGACTTGAGTATAAGCCGAGGTGGGAACACCAGTGGGAAGAATTGTGCCCTCATCATTGGTGTCAGTGGGAGGAAAATAGTGCCCCATCATTGGTGTCAGTGGGAGGAATAGTGCTCCATCATTGGTGTCAGTGGGAGGAATAGTGCTCCATCATTGGTGTCAGTGGGAGGAATAGTGCCCCATCATTGGTATCAGTGGGAGGAATAGTACCCCATCATTGGTATCAGTGGGAGGAATAGTGCCCCATCATTGGTGTCAGTGGGAGGAATAGTGCCCCATCATTGGTATCAGTGGGAGGAATAGTGCCCCATCATTGGTGTCAGTGGAGGAATAGCGCCCCCATTTCAGTGGTGTCAGTGGGAGGAATAGTGCCCCATCATTGGTATCAGTGGCAGGAATAGTGCCCCATCATTAGTATCAGTGGGGGGAATAGCACCCCATTATTGGTGTCAGTGGAATAGTGCCCCATCCTTTGGTGTCAGTGGGAGGAAATAGTGTCCCATCATTGGTGTCAGTGGGAGGAATATAGTCCCATCATTGGTGTCAGTGGGGGGGGTGGAGGAATAGTGCCCCGGTTGGCTGTCAGTTGGTGGGGTGTTGGGGGAGAAAAGTGCCCCATCGTTGGTGTCAGTGGGGGGGAGGAATAGTATCCCATGATTGGTGTCAGTGGGGGGTGGAATAGTTGCTCAATGATTGGAGTCAGTGGGGGTGGAATAGTGCTCAATGATTGGTGTCAGTGGGGGGTGGAATAGTGCCCCATCATTGGTGTCAGTGGGGGGGGGGTAGGAATAGTTGCCCAATCATTGGTGTCAGTGGGGGGGAGGAAAAGTGCCCCATCGTTGGTGTCAGTGGGAGGAATAATGCCCCATCATTGGTATCAGTGACACCAATGATGGGGCACTATTCCTCCCACTGACACTTGCTGACCCCTGTTCCAGTATGGTGCTGCTGCAGCCAGCATATGTGGTTGCAGCAGTACCTAAGCACGGCACACTTACCTGCATCTCCTTCACTCAATTTTCGCAGGGCCGCTCAGCTCGCCGCCTCCTCGCCGGTGATTGGCCGCCTGTGTGCCTTTCCTGAGCTACAGTTCTGGTGGCCAATCACGGTGAGAAGGCGGAGCCGAGCAGCCGCGCGAACATCCAGTGGACGAACCGAATGAAGGAGCAGCCGCGCTTCCTGGACCGGATCGTCGTGGGACCGGAGCCAGGTAAGAGACAGCAGCCCCCTGCAGACGTTGACTCGAGTATAAGCGAGGGGGCCGTTTTTCAGCACAAAAAATGTGCTGAAAAACTCGGCTTATACTCGAGTATATACGGTACATCTAGTTTACTGTTGGCACAGACTTCACTTTGTCTAAATCTTCCATGCTCACAAAACAGTGAGATGACTCCATGTGCACCCCCTCCCTTCTCACTTACTCTGATTGTGGCCTTGAATCTTCCCAACAGATCTCTGCCTAGCAAATTCACAGGGACTCCTGATATGATCTTGAAAGACTGTTTCACTATGGAACCTTTCCTGTGAGAGTCTGAAATACTCAAAGGGGGTGTCCCAGGTTTTGGCACATGTCCCAGTGATACCATCTGAAGGTTCACATTCTACTCTTGTCCCCTATTTCTGTTTCTACCTCTTTCTATAGGATTAGAACTATATTGTAACCCCTGAAAATGTGCTTTTTTAGTAAATTTGCAGACCTCAAAACATCCAGCGGTGTCTTTCTCTATCACTTGTTTTTCAAATGTACCTGAATCCATCTCTGTGCAGTTTGAAATAGGCTGTCTTACCAACAGCAAAATTTCAAATCTGAATCCCTCCATCAAGGTTTGGATATATAATGCCCATTTCTGCACTACCCATATCCATCCCAGCTTCTTCCTTCCAAACATTCCTCAGTCTTTTCCCATGCTCTGTCACCATCTCTTTTGTTCCTTGATTACAAACTACAGCAATTGCTAATGATTTCCTACTCTTCCATATTCTGTCCATCTCGGCTGTCACCTACTATCACACCTTTCTCTTAATGTCTTACTTCAGCCATACATGAGTGGCTGCCTGGGTTCCAGGATCAACCAGAACATATATTTTAGGCCCCTTTGTCCAGTCAAACCCGGAGTCCATTTCATATCCCAAAATTCCATCAATTATTAACCACTCGCCCTCCTGAGGATTTAGCCCCCCTTAATGACCACGCTTCTTTTTGCTACTCTCGCGCTGCACTAATTCAAACTGAATAATTGCCGCGCGGTCATGCAATGCTGCATCCAAACAAAATTTGCATCCATTTTTTCACACCAATAGAGCATTCTTTCAATTTGGTATTTGATCACCTGTGCGCTTTTTATTTTCACGCTATAAACAAAAAAAGACCAAAAATTTTGAAGAAAAAATATCTTTTACTTTCAGCTATAAAAAATATATAGTAAATAGAGATGAGCGAAGTATTCAAAAATTCGATTCGACTGATTCGCGAATTCGTGGACAATATTCGATTCGAGTCGAATATATTCGCTGTGAATTTAACTTAAAAAAAGAGGTGTTTCTATGGCTTCAGAGAGACTTAATATTAGTGCAGAACACTGTACCTTTAATTTAAATGCCCTTGGAGTCTGCTGGGGAAGAGAAATAATACTGTCAGTCAGTATGAACATGCAGATGAGTGCCGTCAATCTTAGAATCACCGCACACTTCACTCATTTGGCTGTTCACGGGGCCAAAACCAGTGTTTGGAGCCACAGTGTGGCGGTGGAGGCAGCAACAATGGGAGGCCATACAGCACCCTATGACAAAATGGAAACCAGCAGGAGTGTGAGGAGACCTGAAAGTGGCACATGGCAGAGTGGTGAGCAATGGGAGGCGGTACAGGGACCCAGGTCACACTGTGGGCCCAGCAGCAGCGTGACCAGGCGGTACGGGGGCCCTTGGAAGATTTGGGGCCTGGCAGCAACCTATGGGAGGCCTGTAATCTGCCAGCAACCTATGACAAAATGGAAAACCGCAGGAGTGTGAGGAGACCTCAAAGTGGCACATGGCAGAGTGGGAGCAATGGGAGGCGGTACAGGGACCCAGGTCACACTGTGGGACCAGCAGCAGCGTGACCAGGCGGTACGGGGGCCCATGGCCGATTTGGGGCCTGGCGGCACCTATGGGAGGCCTGTAATCTGCCAGCAACCTATGACAAAATGGAAAAAACCGCAGAGAGTGTGAGGAGACCTCAAAGTGGCACATGGTAGAGTGGGAGCAATGGGAGGCCGTACAGGGACCCAGGTCACACTGTGGGACCAGCAGCAGCATGAACCAGGCGGTACGGGGGCCCATGGCCGATTTGGGCCTGGGCGGCACCTATGGGAGGCCTGTAATCTGCCAGCAACCTATGACAAAATGGAAAACCGCAGGAGTGTGAGGAGACCTCAAAGTGGCACATGGTAGAGTGGGAGGAATGGGAGGCGGTACAGGGACCCATGTCACACTGTGGGCCCAGCAGCAGCGTGACCAGGCGGTACGGGGGCCCATGGCCGATTTGGGGGCCCTGGCGGCACCTATGGGAGGCCTGTAATCTGCCAGCAACCTATGAAAAAATGGAAAACCGCAGGAGTGTGAGGAGTGTGAAGACCTCAAAGTGGCACATGGTAGAGTGGGAGCAATGGGAGGCCGTACAGGGACCCAGGTCACACTGTGGGCCCAGCAGCTGCGTGACCAGGCGGTACGGGGGCCCCATGGCCGATTTGGGGCCTGGCGGCAACCTATGGGAGGCCTGTAATCTGCCAGCAACCTATGACAAAATGGAAAACCGCAGGAGTGTGAGGAGACTTCAAAGTGGCACATGGCAGAGTGGGAGAAATGGGAGGCAGGTACAGGGACCCAGGTCACACTGTGCGGGACCAGCAGCAGCGTGACCAGGCGGTACGGGGGCCCATAGCCGATTTGGGGCCTGGCGGCACCTATGGGAGGCCTGTAATCTGCCAGCAACCTATGACAAAATGGAAAACCGCAGGAGTGTGAGGAGACCTCAAAGTGGCACATGGCAGAGTGGGAGCAATGGGAGGCGGTACAGGGACCCAGGTCACACTGTGGGCTCAGCAGCAGCGTGACCAGGCGGTACGGGGGCCCATGGCCGATTTGGGGGCCTGGCGGCACCTATGGGCGGCCTGTAATCTGCCAGCAACCTATGACAAAATGGAAAACCGCAGGAGTGTGAGGAGACCTCAAAGTGGCACATGGCAGAGTGGGAGGAATGGGAGGCGGTACAGGGACCCAGGTCACACTGTGGGCTCAGCAGCAGCGTGACCAGGCGGTACGGGGGCCCATGGCCGATTTGGGCCTGGCGGCACCTATGGGAGGCCTGTAATCTGCCAGCAACCTATGACAAAATGGAAAACCGCAGGAGTGTGAGGAGACCTCAAAGTGGCACATGGCAGAGTGGGAGGAATGGGAGGCGGTACAGGGACCCAGGTCACACTGTGGGCTCAGCAGCAGCGTGACCAGGCGGTACGGGGGCCCATGGCCGATTTTGGGGGCCTGGCGGCACCTATGGGAGGCCTGTAATCTGCCAGCAACCTATGACAAAATGGGAAAAACCGCAGGAGTGTGAGGAGACCTCAAAGTGGCACATGGCAGAGTGGGAGCAATGGGAGGCGGTACAGGGACCCAGGTCACACTGTGGGACCTGCAGCAGCAGCGTGACCAGGCGGTACGGGGGCCCATGGCCGATTTGGGGCCTGGCGGCACCTATTGGGAGGCCTGTAATCTGCCAGCAACCTATGACAAAATGGAAAACCGCAGAGAGTGTGAGGAGACCTCAAAGTGGCACATGGTAGAGTGGGAGCAATGGGAGGCCGTACAGGGACCCAGGTCACACTGTGGGGACAGCAGCAGCGTGACCAGGCGGTACGGGGGCCCATGGCCGATTTGGGGCCTGGCGGCACCTATGGGAGGCCTGTAATCTGCCAGCAACCTATGACAAAATGGAAAACCGCAGGAGTGTGAGGAGACCTCAAAGTGGCACATGGCAGAGTGGGAGCAACGGGAGGCGGTACAGGGACCCAGGTCACACTGTGGGACCAGCAGCAGCGTGACCAGGCAGTACGGGGGCCCATGGCAGATTTGACCTCGTTCATCCCATAGTCCTGCCGACTCACGAATAGCGTGGCCTCCTCAAAGGGCCTGAGCAAGCGCAGGGTGTCACGCATGAGCTGCCAATGGCTGACATCTAAGTTACACAGGGAGTACCTTTATCCGCTTTTAACATCAGGAAATCTGTGATGGCCTTTCGCTGTTCGTAAAGGCGGTCTAACCATATGTAGGGTTGAATTTCAACACCTTGTTGCAACGTCACAGCATGAGGAGTCGGTACGGGGGCCCATGGCAGATTACGTGCCTGGCAGCAGCAATGGGAGGCCCCGTAAATCTGCCAGCACCCTATGTCAAAAAATTGAACACACCAGCAGTGTGAGGAGACCTGAAAGTGGCACATGGCAGAGTGTGGCGATGGAGACAGCAGCAATGGGAGGAGTACAGGGACCCATGACACACTCTGGACTTGGCAGCAGCATGAGGAGGTGGTATAGGGGCCCATGGCAGATTAGGGGCCTGGCAGCAGCTATTGGAGGGCCCGTAATCTGCCAGCACCCTATGACAAAAAAATTGAACACACCAGCAGTGTGTGAGGAGACCTGAAAGTGGCACATGGCATGAGAGACTCTGGACCTGGCAGCAGCATGAGGAGGCGGTATAGGGGCCCATGGCAGATTAGGGGGCCTAGCAGCAGCTATGTGAGGCCCGTAATCTGCCAGCAGCCTATGACAAAAAATGTAACACACCAGCAGTGTGAGGAGACCTGAAAGTGGCACATGGCAGAGTGTGGCGATGGAGACAGCAGCAATGGGATGCCGTACAGGGAACCCATGAGAGACTGTGGACCTGGCAGCAGCATGAGGAGGCGGTATAGGGGCCCATGGCAGATTAGGGGCCTGGCAGCAGCTATGGGAGGCCCGTAATCTGCCAGCACCCTATGTCAAAAAATTGAACACACCAGCAGTGTGTGAGGAGACCTGAAAGTGGCACATGGCAGAGTGTGGCGATGGAGACAGCAGCAATGGGAGGCCGTACAGGGACCCATGAGAGACTCTGGACCTGGGCAGCAGCATGAGGAGGCGGTACAGGGGCCCATGGCAGATTAGGGGCCTGGCAGCAGCTATGGGAGGCCCGTAATCTGCCAGCACCCTATGACAAAAAATGGAACACACCATCAGTGTGTGAGGAGACCTGAAAGTGCACATGTTTGGGGCATGATTCATGGCGGATTTAGTCAGTTGTGTGTCAGGAACTGGTGGTTTGAAATCCAGACTAATCCACGCCTGATTCATTTTCACAAACATGAGTCTCTCCACACTTTGGGTGGACAGTCGTGTCCTCCGCGGAGTTACAATACCTCCTGCCGCACTAAACACGCGCTCCGATGCCACGCTACTGGCCGGGCATGACAGCCTTTCAAGGGCAAATTCAGCTAGTTTGGGGCCAAAGGTCAAGTTTCGTTGCCCAGAGTAGTCAAGGGGATTGTCTATCTCGGTTGGCAGGGTGCTGTCCAAGTAGGCCCAAGCCTGTTGTTTGAGCTCCTGCTCCAGGTCCACCTGATGCTGCTGCTGCTGCGGCTGTTAGTAGTTGTAAAATATCGTATTGTCTCGATATTTTATTAACTTGTATTGATGAGAAATGTTCAAATAGAAAGTCCTTCCAATTCTTGCATAAACTCAAAAAGATGATTTAATTATAATGTTGCATAAAATTAGAAATAAAATATTGGAATACAGAATGTTTAAATAAAGTCCAAAAAGTATAGTTCAGTTCTTAATAATAAAATTGTATGTAATTGTGTGTGTATAATATGAATGTGTGTGTGGATATGAGCAAACAGCTCCCTTCGCCTTGCTGCCCAAAGAATGTGTGATTTAAACCTTTGTCCTGCTCTAGAAAGAGCAATCCAGCCCCCAATCTCCTAAAGTGGGTTGGTATTCTCTTGTAGTCCCACTAAGATAATTGGAAACAGATGTGTATATATAACAAACCTCCAGTCTACTTCTCCTAAAGTCTGAGCATAACCTAAGAAGGCCTAGACAAAACTTCACTGACATTCCATCAATTAGAATACATTAGATGTATAACACATACATATATATATATATATATATATATTCTCCTAAAAGTAATCTTACTAAGAGTTATCTCGTATATAAATATCGTAATCAAGAAATATTACAGTATAAACCTTGTAAACCGAACAATTCACTAGTTAGTGAAACATATAATCTCTCTTATATAGATGGGGGAGGATGGGGGAAGGGTATAGCTAATTGCTCTCATATGTGGCTTGAATGTAAAGGAAAAACCCAAGATATATGTATATTCACAGACTATGAAGTCTAATTCCTTACTTTTCCCAATCTAGAACAAATATAAATATAATAACTCAATTATTCTATTAAGATCCAACTCATTCATACATGTTAGTACTGTTAATAAGAAGATATTAGATATTGGGTTAAGGAAAGCTTCTAACAGTAGTTTCCTCACTGCGCTGGTGAATAATGCTACTCATCATCGACTGCAGACTGAAGGCAGCCGCTGCTGGTGGAGCTGCCACTGCTACCTATCCACCCCACCCCCTCCCCTGCTGCCATGGCAGCGGAACGCGAGCGCACAGGGCCCACAGTGTCTGAGGATGGACGTTGGCGCACAAAGGCAGAATTTGGCCTCCCTCTCAAGCAGGTGTGAAAAAAAGGGCCCCCATTTTGAACGGTAGCGAGGGTCCAACAAGGTGGACAGCCAAAAGTCATCCCTCTGTCTGATGGTTATTTTTCGGCTGTCGCTACGCAAGCAACCGAGCATGCTATGGCCATTGTGCCAAGAATGCGAGGGACTCCCTGCCTCCATCTCCACAGCATAACTGCCACGGTGCGTCTGGGTCCTCTGTCTCCTCCCCCTCCTCCTCTACCAGATGCTCCTGCTCCTCCACTCCTGTCCGCTGTAGTGGAAAAACCACCCATTTTCACTCAATAATTCCTGGGGCACAAATTCCTCCTTTTACCTCCTCCTCTTCTTCCTGTCCTGCCCCCACGGTCAGTGGCGTTGAGATCTGTGGCCC